AAGGACTTATGGTATCGGACTTTATCCTTCCATGCAATCGACTTGAGATGCCATCCTCAATTCACTTACCAACTATCCTACAATCTCGCGACATTGAGCCTATTCCTGGACTTCAAATCAATCCTCGACAAGCAACTGAGTACATCAAAGTGGGTAATGGATCTTGGTGGAAAGGGGACAACCTAATAGACCATGTCCTTAATATCGCAATTCCCATCTTTGAAGCTACTTTTCCAAATGCACAAGCACTATTCCTGTTCGACCACGCAACCTCTCATACAGCAGATGCACCTGATGCACTTCGTGTATCACACATGAATATGGATCCTGGTGGAAAGCAACTTCATCTTCGTGATGGTTGGTTTTATAAACCAGATGGTGTTACTTTATATATTCAGAAGATGAGCTTTGAATTGGATGATATCTCTATTCCCTCACAGTGGAGAGGAATGCCAAAAGGATGCAAGAGGGTCTTGCAAGAACGTGGTCTCTGGCCAGAGAATGGATTAAGGCATAATTGTAAGAGCAGGAAGAATAAGAAAGAAAAGAGTCATGAAGGTGATTCTTGCTGTGCTAGGCGGTTACTTTCAGTTCAGCCTGACTTCTTTGCACAAAAGTCACGCCTTCAGGAGGAAATTGAGAAGAGAGGTCATCTTTGCATGTTTTTTCCCAAATTCCATTGTGAGCTAAATTGGATTGAGTATAGATGGGGAAGGGCAAAGTGGTTCACCAGAAAGAATTGTCAGTATAATTGGCCTTCATTGGTCAAGACAGTTCCAAAGGCTTTGCAGGATATTCCTTCACTTTTGCTTCTAAAATACTGGTGGAAGAGTACTCGGATACTTGATGCCTACTCTACTGGATTACAGTATGGAACACAACCATTTACTAATGTTGTATATAAAAGTCATCGTCGTGTATCTTTAGCTCAAGGGGGTAGTTAGAAAACCTTTCTTCTTAAATACATTAATCTAATTCTATCAATTACTGCTTTTTGCACCTCGCTTCTGTTGTATCATTTCACCCTGCTCAGTTTGTCTTGGCAATTCCGGGTTCAACTCCGATCGGTTGCCACGGAATTCCTGTTTCACCGGAGGGTCCACCTTTAGGCACTTTGCACCGTACCTACGGTAATGCCGTAAGTCACGGCGAGGTCTTGCTCGGTTGACAAAAATTCCCTCGCCCACGGACCCCGCTCGCCCCCGGATAGTACCGGTACTCGGGCGCAGAGGTCCACAGCAGTGTTGCACTTTTAATTAGTTGTTCTCCATCCTTTCATCCCCTGACTCTCCCTCAGGTTCTTTGCGTTCCTCCCCTTCCACATGGCTTCCTTCCATCTCACCCGCCCGTCTTGCTCTCTCTCTCTCTCTCTCTCCTTCTCTCACGCGCCCCGCTTTCTATTTCTCTTTCCCTCCCTTCTCCGTGCTTCCTTTTCCTTCGGGGGGAAGCGCTGATAGTACTGTACATGTCTCTAGTATGCTGCAAGGCATGGATATTCCTGGGAGCAGGTGCGCAACTGGGGTAGGGAAAAATCTGGGGAAGCCTTGACTATTAATCCCATACGAATTCCACAATTCCACAAGCTGCATCCACCACCCTCCGCTATGCTCTTCGTACTCGAGTACATAGTATGCCTATGCGGCGAAGGCAAGTAGATTCCACTATTATTCAGACTCGCTTAGTCGAGGACTGGGTTGATTCCGGATTGAATGAGCGCTCCTGGAAACTTGAACTTACCGTAATTGCCATCTTTATAGATCACCTTCTAACGGTATTCTAGACCTAGGGCAGCATAGATCATCCATCTATCTCTTCCAGCAGCTCAAAGTCACCCCAGCCTGGCATAGCTATGCCTTCAAGAATATTCTATAATCCGCGTGGCATCTCACGTCCTATATGGTCCGACGCCCATGGTCGGCTAGAGCGATGCCCGGAGTCTCAGATAGAAGGCTGACCTCTTCGAGCAAACATGCAGGGGCGGTTACCCCCTCAAATCCAGTATATTTACAAGGAAACACAGGAATAGTTCTCGAAGGTACCCTCACGTTTATCGCTCCCACACAAAAACCCCTAAGGAAAGAATAACCAACCCCGGCAAAGAATGTGGGCAAAAACACCGACCCAATTCGGCAGCAGTGAAAACCGGGTTATAATGAGGATGTTCAGGCCAGTAGATTGTCGATCTCCGCGTTCCGAGTGAATCCCCCCCTTTATGGAGCGAGTAAAGGTAGATACAAAGAAGAACGCGGGTAGTGTCAATTGAGAGATGGATGGAGATTAACCCAGGAGTGGTGGCAGAGGCTGTCGATTAGCTATGAAGTTATAATCATAATATGTACAGTACCATTGCGACGAAGGGGAAATCATGGTGGATGGACGGGATAGAGAAAGGGGAGGTGTCCGGTGGGAGGTTGTGATCGCAGTTGCCATGGTTGGTGGTGGGGCTAAGATCAAAAGGGCAGTTCGTTACCCGGACTTCACGCTATTAATCGGATGGGGCTGAAGTTTGGGTAAGTAAAAAAGCGAGTGAGAGGTCGTGCGTGTGTTGATGCATTACGAGTAGATTGGCGCAAGCTTAGGCCATGACTCATTTTTTCCGACAAACCTCAAGGTGATATCAAGCCTCCATCCCTATTCATTACCTTCCTTTCCATTCCGTTTAAATCCATGACAAAAACGAGAGGTAACCTCTCTTCTCCCTCTTTTCCCTCCTTTTAGTCCCCCCAACTTCCAGATACCCTACGATAGAAATACACTTCCTTCACTTTCACTCCTCACCTCAGCTATTCCATCCAACCAATCTTTGTTTCAAGAAGAAATACGCCGCGAATTTTAGAATAACGGTGGCAAGAAGAAAGGATAGCTTCCGTTCTTCTGCTTGAAGAGGTTCATGAGGAAGCTGAACCCGACCAAGAGGACGGCATTCCAGATTAGGATTGCAGCCTTCTGTTGGGTAGGGTCATCGATGCGGGGGGTCTTCATTGCTAATGAGATGGTAGCGAATGCCAAGAGGGCGTCTATAATACTAATCAGTCGCGGTCCAAAGGGTGAGTGAAAGGCAAGAATAGGAAAACATACAAACAATGGCTACGATCTGAGTTTCCAACCCGAATTGGTTGCTAAACCCGGAGGCTACATAAGAGATACCACCACGCCCATCGTTAACAACGTACGGGACATGACGGATGTGGTTGAACATGTGTCCGCTAGTGAACAAGAGGACGGCGATAAGGGAGATGGCGGCCCAGAAGTTGCGGCTGTAAATGATGGGCTTGACGATGGGGAAGGCGATGCTGACGAGTGCAACAGCCACCAATACAAGGCCAGCCATGCCGCCGAATTTTACGTAGTCGAACGGACGAGAAACCGGGGGAGTATGTGGGGTGTGCTTGCTGATGAAGCGGGCGACTGCTTCGGCGGGGGTTCTACTAACACAGCGTTAGCCGCGCTCAATCGATAGGAAAACAGGGCAAGAAGTAACATACTGTTGAGTGAAGTCGAACTGATGTGGTGTCTCGATATGCGCGACGTCCACATTATCTCCAGTGGTCGGGGGGAACAAGTACAAGATAGGAGCAGTCGTCAATTGCAACTAAACAAGCTCAGAATCAGCCCCAACCCACCATAACCGCACTTGAGCATAACAAACAAACCCTTTGGAAAGTAGCCTTAGCATCCGCAAAGTCCAGTTGCCCGAAGAACAACCCATCACCTGACTTGTGCTTGGCGATCCAACTCTTCGCCAGCAGTGCATATTCCGGTTGAAACTCCTGACATAAATCACAGCTAAACCTGTGGTCCAACGCCGTGAGCAACACCACCGCAGAATAATTCCGGGGGGCGGTGGTTAATTCAGTGTAGAGAGTATCGTCAAGCTTCACGATGCCCTTTAGGTTCGAACCAGCCGCGAGCGAAGTGAACTTTGAAAGCTTGGAGTCTGCAAGCGCAATCGGGAGGAGTGTGGAAACCAGGGACAATAGTCCCGCGACGGGTGCGAGGAAACGCATGTTTGACGGCAATGTTTGCGGAGAGAAAACCAGCACACCCTTATAGTTGTAAGGGCCGCGGATTGTATGGAGCTTTCAATGTTCTCGAAGTATTGGCGGACGGTGAAGGTATACTGTAGAAGCTTCGCTTGCGGCTTGTCAAAAAGGCTCAGGCAATGTGTTCAGTAGAAATTGCCCCTAATCTTTCCTTTCTCGGTGACAGTACCGTAGGTGGCTATCTGTGGCTCGTCTCAAATGGAGGTGTGGCTTGCCCCACAAGCCACTTGGACTGTGCTTCGTATGATACTCGTAACCGAGTACAGTATGAGACGGATGATACGGTTGCCTGTTTGTTGACATCACATCGAAGCCTCCCCTCGCGTTTCCCTTCTGCCTGCAACCACTACGAGTACCAAGAAACCGAAGACCTCTTTTCTTTTTTTTTCCCCCCTACAGCCTATTCCTCTTGCCCCGTCCCCGCCATATATTCTCCGTACCCTTTCCTAGAATCCCTACCGAGACAGTAGCCCTCTCCTTACCCTCCCGTACCTACCATCCCTCACATATTGTATATCAATCACAATGCCCGACCCTGGCACCCTTTTCGAACTCGAGGATGTACGCCCGTGTCCCGCTTCGTTTCCTTCCATCCAATATCAAACTGACCACCACCTATGACAGGCCCGACGGAAGATCGCGACCTCCAATGCTCTCCTTGCCTACCGCGAGGCGTGCGCAGAAACTCTCGTCATCGAGGCAGACGAAGAGCAACGAAAAATCCGCGCCCAATTGATAATCCTAGAAGCTCGGTATGAGAAGTTGTATCAGGAGTATTCCGAGGACAAGGATTATTTAGAACAAGTCGAACCAGCGCTGAAAGAGGTGTATGCGTCCTTACGCTGGCACGAGGACGCGGTTGCTAGGTATAAGGTCAAGAATAAAGTGTTGAAGGTTAGTTTCTTCACCCTCCATTGGCGATCGGTTTGTGGCTGACCGCTCCATTGTGGTCTAGGAGAAATGCCAACGGAATCTTGCCGGTGAACAGAAACAGCAAGAGGCTGAGGTTGCGGTTCTGCGAGCATCACTAGAGGAAGCGCTTGGTTCGAAGAAAACGCTGCAGGAGCGTATCCTGCAATTAGGAGATGAGCTCCTGAGTGCTACTGCGAAGAAGTCCGCTCTGGACACCAAGCTATCAAAGCGCAAGGAGGAGGTTGAAGCCTACAAGAAGAGCACCAACGCCCTAAAAGCGCAGTCAACAGAGTGGGAAGAGAAGCACCGGGGAAGCGCCGCGGAACTCCAATCTCTTCAACAAGATGTTTCCACCCTCCGAGTAGACTTGCAAAAACAGCAACAAACAACCGCCGCAGAGAACCAGTTGCTTGAGCAAGAGGTCACCACCCTGCGCTTGGAACTGGAGAAAACTCAAGCAGCTCTTAAGCAAGCAAGTGAACTTGCCGCCACCGAGATAGAAAAAGACGGCAAACGCAAATCCCAGGAGGTTGCAGACCTCAAAGTCGCCCTCCGCAGGGAAACGAAAGCCCGCGAAAAGGCCGAAAAAGACCTCGCCAAGTCCAAAGAAGACTGGCAAGCCAAGCATGAAGTCCTCGAGTCAAAACTCGAAAGCACCCGAAGTAAACTCGTTGCCTTAAAAGCCTCCTCCGCCTCTATACCTCCCCTAGCTCCAGCTCCCGCTTCTGCTGCAGCAACAACGGGCACATCCTCAGCAACATCGGTAGCCACCAAACTCCCCGTCCAGAATCCCAAAAAGCGTGCTTCAACCTTAACCATGGAGGACCTCGAACTCTCCGCCAAACGACGGCGCAGGACTCCACCGAAGACATCGGAGTTTAGCATAACGCCGTTCCTAAAGCGCCAGACTGCCGCGGCGGACACCTCCGTTGCAAACGCCACTACCATCTCAACCGCTACAGCTGCAGCAGCCGTAACCAGCGAAGCAGATGCCCCAGAAGCCCCAGAGGCGGGTGAAACAACCATGATTCCAGCCCTAATCGAATCCAAAAAGCCCACCAAAATCCTCCTCGCTGGTGCAAACCGAAAGCGCAAAGACAAAAACCCTACCGCCGAGTCCGGCATCCCCGAGGCAACAGCAGCAGAAGAAGTGGTAAAACCCAAACCGAAACCGAAACCGCGGAAGCGAAAACCCGCCGCCGCAAAGGCTCTATTCACCGAGGACGATGGTAGCGGAAGACTTACGCTTGCGCCTCTGGCTGAGAGTCAGGAGTTGCCTACTCCACAGATAACAGCGACGGTAGCGGCCGCGGGGGGGAAGAAGGGGAAGAAGGCTAGTGGAGGAGATTTGGTGGGTGCCCTGGTGGGGAGCGCGAGTTTGTTCGCGCCTAGCGTATCAGCGTTCAATAGTGAATTCTCACCCGCGAAGAAAAGGCCTGAGGGGCTGAAAAAATTGTTTGGTGGGAAGAAGCAGTAGTTTTTTCTCCTTCCTCTTGCATTATATGGCGGCGTTTCGTCTGGGTCGGATTTGATACTATTTTCGCCTGTGTGTTTGGGACAGATCTGTTTGGTTGGTTATGTGAAGGATTTATCTGTATTAATTTTAACTATGGCGGTGGTGGTGGCGATTCTTTAAGCTTTAAATACCAGTATCATAGAAGAGTTCAATGCAGGGTTTGTTTTAGTTGCGGAGATTCTAGAAGGGTTGGTAGTTGCCCCCTATACTACAGGATAGAGCTGCCGGCGGTCATACGATCTCACTCGCCCCCCCCCCCTCCCTTCAATTGTTCACCTGACTTTAGCGACCGGTCGAAAGTGTGTAATATGTACGGTGCCTAGTATCATTCGGTGGCACTGCCTATAGTGTATTCTGGACATCCAGATACTCCTCCGCCTGTCCCCTCAGGAGCTTAAATACTGATGGGGGATCAGGTCGCTCGAGCTTATCGACATCAACCGTTATATTTTTCAGACGCCCCATTCCCACACCCCCGAAGGAAAACCTGCTATACCCCGACCCAAAGCCCAGTCAATCCCCCACCGCGGAATATCATCGTGTAGGCACCTCACCCAAGCCATCGAGCCCCTCCCCTGAACCAACTACTATCCAAGTTATGAAACCGCTAAATTTTTAAGAGCCTAGTTCCTGAGGCTCTCCAGGTAGAGTATTCTTTCTCGCTTGCCTGTTGCGCTGACTAGCTACTATGGGAGTTAGGTCTCATGTTGGGATATGGAATATGTGCCGCCCCGTGTATCTAGCGGACTTACATACGCCCGAGTCGGGTGTGGTCGTGTGGGTACTCGAGGTAGGAGGTTTATGCCACGATGTTTATGAAATGTTTGAATTCAGGCCGTCGGCGACCGGTTGAGAGTTTAGCGAGGTGTTCCAGGGGTAGGGCCCGGGTTGGCGCTTGTCCTTGGATAAGTGAGTACACGCTGTAAAGGCCAGGGAGGGAAGAGGAGAGGAAGACTACCTTTGAGATGAACATTTTGCTTGGAGGTTTGGTGGGTTGGTTCGGGGGGGTAATTGGGGGATGGGAGGGAGAAGTAGTTATTCAGAAGGAGGAGAAGGGATGTCCACTCAGTCTACCGAGTACTGAAATGTTAGCTCCATCTCGTGGTGTGGCACTCGTGGGCAGTTGTTAGTTGCGGGGTTTGCAGGGAGCACCACTCTAAACCAATTCCTTCGGTTGAATGCGTATCGGGTGTGTGTGCGGTTGCGCTAGGATTCTGATGTTTTGGGGCTTGCAGAGTGCATGATACCCCTGCTGGCAGGGACGTGATCATGATATCTCACTCGGGAGGAATGTTGAGTTTAGTGCTTATCCGTCAAACAGACTAGTTTCCTTTTTAGTTAGTTTCTCCTAGTATTTTCTCACTACTCTCTTCAACGTTAGTTACTGTTTGAGTTTTTCCTCATCTCTTACCTGTTCGTTTCACAACCGTACAACCATACCATATTCAACTGTGGTATTCCGAGGTTCTCATATGTTTTACTTCCTTACCGAGGTTTTGTCAAATTCCTTCCTCCGAGGTCCTAAAGTTACCGACCTCGGGCCTTTGTTATTTCTTTTCTTTCACTTGATAGTTAGTTACCATAAAAGCCCACTGCTGCGCAGGTGGTAAGAAAATCAAGCTTCTTTTCTCGTCCGCAGTCATATCAATTTACAGGTTATGAGCCCTTTAGCTTCCTGATTGTGATTATCAGTGCTCTACCTCCTCCTACTCTTATCTCCTTGCTCTTTCAAGGTTCTATTTCTCCTTCTCAAGCGTCTCATAGCTTGCAGCTCCGATGTCCACCTCTACGGTTTCTACTAGCGGCATCTCTGACTGTACTCGGACACTCAAATGCCCTCTTCTCACTGCTCACAACTGGACCTTGTGGAAGCATCGTATGACAAACCACTTCCGCGCTGAGCAGCTTTGGGTCATTGTTGATGCTGATACTCCTTGGAAACCGGCTGCCGAAGGATCACGGGAGACAGGTTCATCGGAGAAGGCAGCCATTGCAGTCTTGGCAGATGAGGAACTGAGTGCTGCACGGGCATTGGACCTTATTGAGTCTCACATCCATGAGGACCTTCTCTCTATGCTTCTCTCTTTTACTAATCCTCGTGAGGTTTGGATTTTTCTTATGAACTACTTTGAGGCTAGCACTATTGCCCACCAGAGTGCTGTTCAGATGCAGTTTCAGAACATTCGTCTCCGCTCTAGCCAAACAGTTGATAGTTATGTTGCTGAAGCCAACAATCTTTTCTTTCGTCTTTCTTCTATTGGGATCAGTCTTTCTCGCCTTCAGCTTATCAATCAGGTCCTCAATGGACTTCTGCGATCCTATGAACGGGTTGTTCGGACCATTCGCACGTCGCTCTCTCTCACTCAACAGATTAGTCTCACCTTGGTTCATCACACTCTCTCGGCAGAAGAGTTGCAGCAGGCTGCGGTACAGCCAAACAATCTACATAATCCTCATACAGCCTTATATATCAACAACTCTTCACTCTCTGGCCAGGGAACTCGGGGGTCTAGTAGTTTTTCTCAGGGTGACCGGAGGTCTTTTCGTTCACATGCCGGTTCATGTCAGTGACTACCATCTCATACCAGCCCCCACCACCTCCAGTGCAAGTACTGTCATCGCTCTAATCATGTTTCTGAGAGCTGCTGGCAGCAGTTTCCACACAAGCGTACAGATCGTTTCCCGATTACTAGTAAGGCTGTCAAGTCTGATGGTGGTTCATCCTCTGTGTTGCATTCTGCCCGGATTACTGAGATAACTGATCCGAATTGTGCACTTTCTGCCTTGGATATTGAGCATACTCCTACGGATACCATTTCACAAGTCTGGTATCTTGACTCTGCATATATGAATCATATTACCTGTTCCAAGGACCTGCTTTGTGATTATGCCGTTCTCCCTAGCCTACAGTCTATTCGTGTTGGTAATGGTGATACGGTTGATGCTATTGGTGTGGGTAAGGCTGTTCTTCCTGTTGTTACTCCATCTGGGTACCATATGGTTACCTTAAGTGATGTTTATCATGCACCTGGGTTTGGGCATGTGAGTCTAGTGTCATTAGGACAGTTGCAGGACCGTGGTGCCACTTACTGCTCCTCGGAAGGGGGGGTTGCTGTCCTTAAAGGGGGTCGGATAGTTCTTTATGGGTATGCTGTTGGCCGGCTCTATCAGCTCCATTTTTAGTCCACAGCCTATGTTACTACTCGTTCTAGGTCTACGCTTATAGCTCCACCATTACCGGACTCCAAGTCGCAATTGGTTCCATCCGCACCTCCACCTCAGTCCATCCCAGATGCTGCAAACTTGGGTCCGAAGACCGTTGTTGTACCTTATCAGTCAGGGACGACCCTACGTACGGCAACTGAGACCCTGAATACTTGGCACCGCCGCCTTGGTCATCTCAACTCTGAAGCTATTCGTGGCCTGGCTCAGAGCTCCTTGGGTATGAGGATTGCACAAGGGACTACTGTTGATAAACTTTGTCTTTCCTGTCTTCATGGAAAACAACACCGGCAGCCTTCCCGTCGCTAAATGCCTTGTGCGGATACTGTGTTAGAAACAATCCACTCTGATGTTTGGGGCCCTGCTCCTGTTCCCTCCATTAGTGGCTTGAAGTATTTTGCAACGTGGATAGATGATAAGTCACACTTTGTTATTGTTTCTATTTTTCGTACGAAGGGTGAGGTGTTTGATGCATTTAAGATGCTCCATATCAAGCTGGAGCGACTCAAGGATACTAAAATTAAGTTCTTGCAGACCAATAATGCTCTGGAGTATGGTGGCTCCCTGGATCGATGCCTTGATCATATACCTTCTGCCTCTGCATTTTCTGAATACTTGCGAACGTCTGGTATTGCTCATGAGTATACTGTACCCTACACTCCTGAGCAAAATGGTGTTACTGAGTGGATGAATAAGACTCTACTGGAGATGGTCAACTCGATGCTGCACGAGAATGATGTTCCTATAGCACTTTGGGCTGAGGCACTACAGACGGCAGTCTACCTTCGTAACCGGTCTCCAACCTCATCGCTTTCTAATAGTATGACTCCTTTCCAGATGTGGAATGGGCGGCCTCTATATATAGGACACCTTCGTGTTCTTGGCTCAGCCGTGCATGTTCATGTTCTAAAGACCCTCCGGAACAAGCTTGAATCTCATTCCCATTCTGGTATCCTAGTTGGTTATGATAGTACCAATATATATAGGATCTACATACCTGAATCACAGTGTATTGTTCGTGTTCGGGATGTCCAGTTTGATGAGGTTGCCTCTCGCTCCTATGAGGAAATTATTGATTTGGATACTCCTCCTCTATTCACTGCTAATGCACTTTCTCCTTTGCCTCTATCCACTTCCACTTCGGGTTCTGCGTCTTATACTCCTCTAGCTTACGCTTCTCTACATACTGCTACCTCTATTGAATTATCTTCTTCTTTCCCTCACTCAGCCTTTGCTTCCTCTATTGATACGATATCCTACCGTGACGCTCTTGCTGGGCAAGATAGACCTCACAGGGAGGTTGCTATAGCTGAAGAGCTTGCTGCCATGGATAAGCATTCTGTCTGGGAGCAGGCTGTTCTACCTCAAGGGCATAAGGTGATTTCATCCTACTGGGTACTCCGACGCAAGTACGACTCGATGGGCCAAATGACGCGGTTTAAAGTATGGCTGGTTGCTCGAGGGGATCGTCAGGTTGCTGGTATCGATTACCAGGAAACGTATGCTCCAGTTGTTAAGTGGGCAACTATACGCTTGGTTCTTGCATTGCTGGCAGCTCAGGATATGGTTATTAACCAGTTAGATGTAGTGACTGCCTTTCTTGAGGCTGTCCTACATGCTGATATTTATTTGCGGCTTCCATCTGGTGAGGTTGTACATCTTTTACGGTCTATATATGGTCTAAGGCAGTCTCCACAGGAATGGTTTGGTACTTTTCATGATTTTTTTCTTAGTATCAGTCTCACACAGTCTACTGCAGATCATGGACTGTACTTAACACCTGGTGGTGGTTATCTTCTTCTCTATGTTGATGATATTGTGCTTTGTGGCTCATCAGATGAGGTTGGTTGCCTTTTGGATCGATTCAAAAAGCGTTTTGAAGTCAAGGATTTAGGCGACATTGAATTCCTACTAGGGATTAAGATCACGGGCGATCGTCAGGCACGGTCT